ACTTGAACAACTGGAAGCTGATTTGTGTCCTGAGTGTGAAAAAAGAACTGTGTCTTACGCCAGCTGCCATCTTCAATCTGCAATACACAGAAGCAGAATATTAGAGTCGTATCAAAGATGAGCTACCAAACACAAACAGAAATGGTGCTTAAAGAGCGAGAGGAGGAGGAGAAGTGTACAGAAACATTTCTTCTCCCGGCAGTTCCTAAAGAAACTGTGTAATTTAACAAATGCCATTTCTCCCATGCAATACCATGGGCACTCCTGGCAAAACCGTAACTGTAAAAGAGCCCAGCCTGGAATCCAGCTGGATCAGATGCAGACACAGTGCAACGTGGCTCAGAGCCGAGTGCCTGTCACTTTGCAAGCAGCCCTGGGCTCATACAGACTTTTAGATCTCTTGCTAAATTCAGCTCCGAATTTGAACAGTAAGTCTCAGGTTATAAACTTTACAGGCACTTGAATGACTTTGTCCTTGAAGCATAATCGTGATGAACGAGCGCTGCATTTTTGCCATGAACTTTGTATTGATTATTCTAATCCTTTAAAAATCCCAGTAAAAAAATGGTATCTCATAAAAACTATAAACTAACGTTATAACATTATCTGAGGCTGGGAGCACTGTGATGTTTGCAATCACTCCATTCTTAAAAACCATCGAGTACGGTGGACATCACTGAAAAGTGAAATCCTCGCAGAGAGGGAAACGCGTGAGATTCTGCAGCAGATCTGTACAATACATTGTTTCCCACAGAAAGCATGACAGACGTTGTGGAATCTCACAGAAAAATGGTGCTTCTCAATAGCCATCACTGTAAGCCTTAATTTTTCTCAGGGACTAAACCAGTCCCAAACAGACTGGGAGGTGGGGAGAAGGGGCTTCAGTGGCCATACCTTAGCTGCATGACACAAGCTAGAACATCTTATGAGCGTGTGCAAATAAAGGCTGGAAGCATAACAGCTTCCAAGCGCCTCAATAAAACCACTTTCTGTCTTGAAATTAAAAATCTCACTTGACATCCCTGTATCGATATGGAACGAGTCACACTTCTTTCCTTATTGTAAATGAAAGTAGAGCTACAAAATAGTGAAAGTATAAAGTGCTTGGTTCCTACATTTCATAGAGTTCTACCAAGACATTTACCAAATGGCTCACACCTTGGTGAGTGGAATAATCTAATAAGCATTACAAAATTAATAAGCTCTTCCAATTTTTCCTAAATACAAATATTATTTAATATTTTAGTTAGCAAGGGAGTCCATTTCCAGTCATCAGTATTTTATTAAATAACCAAACAATTGACTCACAGTCAATGAATTTAAAGATATTTAGTTGTCCAAAAAATAATTTCCAGCCTGTTTGAACCTGAGATTTTACATTAGATAACCTCAAAAGAACTCTTACTGAAGCCTGAATTTTCATTTTGAGAGTGACTTCCTAAAGTTACCTGGAGAACCTCCTTATTTCTGTTCTTATCTCTCCAGTGTCTTAGTAGAGTCTTCAGATACATGACACTCATTGCAAACAGCAAGTACAGATAACCTTGTATTACTGCACTTGCTTTTAACTTTGGGTAGACGTTGAATTCAATATCAAAAGGTTGGCATATAGAGACATATGCAGAACAGGGTAAGAGGTAAGCTTTAAGGGATGTGACTGACTCTAAATGACTGTTATTTATTTGCAGAAAGTTAATAATGTCTAAACAGTAACTCCATTATGGTTTTAATAATGCTAGTGCCAAAAAGTATTTACCATGCATTCATCCATAAGCACCTTCGGTTCAAGTAGTGTATTTGCTTTAAATATTTGACCATTCCATCCTTTGAAGCTAACAGACGTTTTCTGGCCACCTACTTTATTTAATCTCCACATTGGTGTGTTCAGACAATGAACTGTGATGCTATGGGTTGCTTCTGAGCTCAGTAAATGAAGGAAGTTCATCTGCACTTTTCCAACGCCGAACTCCAGCTAAGTTCCAAGAGAAATGCATCGTTAGACTTACAACTGGCCTCTGCTGAATGGCCACAGCAACGCAAAGTGACATGCACGTACATGTATGGGTTCAGGCATGGGTGCATGTATACGTGTTTATACATTGGGATCAATGCCAGGGAGCACAATTTGTATTTTTCAGGAGAGCTGTTAGGTTCTACTATAGTGATTACTATAAACAGAAGCTTTCATAGGACATTTTCAAAGATCAGATATAAACATTTGCAAATGCTTACAACGTTGTTGAAACACAGCTGGGCAGAAAACACTTCTTAAATAAGAAAACTGAAACAAATGACTTTGTGATTCAAACAAAGATATTATCAGTAGGAATCTTTTAACTGCAGCACATCATTCCATTGTTTAGTCTTCTCAGACCACAAGTTCTGGCAATACCTACATGCCATTAAAAAAATCAATAAATTTGTAAGCATACTTTGCTTTTAGACAGAAAATATAGTTACTTATTACTCAACAAGAATTTCTCCAAGACTAGATTGTATTCAGGGATCTTCCAAATGTAGAAATGCGTATGGGAACTTTATGGTATTTCTTGTGCTCTTCAATGACTACAGGGTATGTGCAAAACTCCACAAATATAATATTTCTGTTCCCAAGGGTTTAAGGACTGCATGTAAAGAGGAGCGTAGACTAATGATAGAAAGGAAACCAGTCTCTGCCTAATGGCATTTAAAAGTAGCAAAGTGTTGAAAAGTAGTCATAATTTTCTTCCTTTCCATTGCAATAAGCTCAGCATCTCCTCACTTGGCTGCCCTGAGTGATGAGTTACTAATGTAGCTTAGAAGCATTTCAGGCTTATTTTTATACCTTGTATAGGAAAGAATGAAGCAAAACCAAATAATTTTATCAGCATAGATGGTGAGTTAATGAACAAAGCGAGAGTTACACTAACATATATTGTCTCCAGAAAATCTGTAACTTCTGTAACAGAATATATAACATGTCCTGGCACAAAGAGGCACATTAACACACCCCCCCCCCCCCGAAATCTAACACCTTTTCATGAGTTAAGTAAAGAAGTGTTCATTTGTTCGGAGTTGCAGCACAGACGCAGCCTCTCTGGAAGCAGTGCATACCTTTGTCACAGACAGTGGCGTTAAACATGTCTGACCACCTGCAGTGAAGTTGCAGAAAACTTCAATGGCATCAGAAGGACATCCGATATTTGGGTCAATCCAGTATTTTCCTATTAGGACATAATCCCAGATGGAAAATAAAACCAAAACATAATTGTTACTAAACAATTTGCTAAAATATTCATACTTTTGGGCAAGTATTAGATATATTATCACCACAGCTTCACTAGGAAATGAAAGAAAAGGAACATGAAAGTCTTTTCACTGTTACATTTCTAATAATAAGTGGTACTGAGTAAAACTATCATAACCATTCAATTCTGATTACATATACAATGACTTTTG